ACGGTCGGAGGCGAAAGGGTTCGTCCTTCTCCAACCGTATAACATGTTGCACCGCCCGCACTGCACCCACGCAACCACTGTGGTCCGTGATCACACTAAAGTCTTGGATCGCGTCCATGAACTTGGTCTTCAAGTCTTCGGGGAAGCCATGTTGGACCTGGGGGAGGGGCATCCCTGGCGGTGGTGGTTGTTGGTCCGACCAGAAGGTGGTAGCTCGGTGGTCGACGCCGTGGTGTATGCAGCGGAGCCCGTAGTCGAGCGTGACTCGAGCCCGTTGGAGCCATGGATCGCCGAGGATGATATCGTCGGCGAGGTCGTCGATCACCATGAACTCCTCGTCGTACTCTAGATGGCTAATGATAAGGTGCAAGTATGTCATACCTGGCGATGTGGTGGTCACCCCCTTGCTGGCCAGTTGCACGGTGGTGGTGGGTCCGTGGTGTGGTCGAGCGATGCGGCCGCTGACGAAGTTGGCCGAGGCTCTGGTGTCGAGCGCGACCTTCCTCGTCTCGCCGTCTACGAGGGCGGTGACCTGGGGGAGTGGCTTGTTGTGGTGTTTCAAGCCGAAGCATCGGGCCGCGGTGGAGACGTTTCCACAGCCCGGCGCCAGTTATCCGCCGGCTTCTTCTTGTCGTTGCCAGCGGCGAGGTTCAACACTTCTTGTGCTGTTTGTCTGAAGTGGTCCACGCTGTCATACCGTCCTACGGCTAGGGTGGCCCTGATGTGGGCCGGCATCTGCTTGATCAGCTCCTTTATGAGTTGCTTCTCGGAGCCTCCGGGGAAGAGGCGGTGGTGGAGTCGCTGTTGTTTGCTGACGTAGACGTCCAAGGCGTCTCTGCAGCTGAAGTGGCTGGACGTGAACTTCGCCAGGAGTTCCGAGTAGTTGTCCTCGGTCCCGAAGCTGGTCCTCAGGCGTCGCCACAGGTGAGTGACGCAGGTGTCGGTGGGGCCGTAGGGCTTGTTCAGGCGGGCGGCGATCCCCCTGAGCTGGCGGTGGGCCACCAGCACCTGGAGGCGGTCGTTTAGGTTGCCTACCTCGCTGAAGTAGGCTTCCAACTCGTTGATGAAGGCTTCAGGGTCTTCATCGGGTTCTCCGCCGAAGGTCCGGAGATATTCTTCGGTCCGGAAGTTGGGTACGGGGATGCCTGGCTTGGTGGTGGAGACGGCCGTGGTGGCGGCGGTCTTGGCGGTCATGGCACTGACCGTGGCGGCGGTTGATCCCTGCAGGTCGAAACAATACCTGATAACTCGTACCAGTTGTGCGATGTCCTCCGAGAGGGTGGTGGGCTGGTCCGCTGGAGGCGGCGTTGGGTTAGAGGTGACCCTGGTGGTGAACGGCACGTGGGAGGTCTCTGGCTCATCTGTAGTAGGGATGGACCATGTTGTCCCTGCGCTGAGTGGTCGTTCTTCCACCTGGGGCTGGAGCACTAGGTCCCCCGGAGAGGTCCCGGTGGTGTTGGTCGCCATGCTCTCGGCGTGGATGGTGGTTGGCTGGATGACGGTGTCTTCAGTGGATGACGTCTTCTTGGACACAGTCTTCTTCTTGTACTGGAGCCTGGTCTCCATGGACTTGGGCGGGCCCTTCTGACAGCCTTGTCAGAGGATGCCCCACGTTGGGCGCCAATGTGTTGTCGGGTCGGGGAGCGTCTGGACGTCGTCTTCGGCGTGGACGGCCCGTCCGTCACGTAGTGGGGGTGAGCACCAGCTCGGACCAGGTAGCTGGTGGCTCGTCGAAGTGGAAAGCTCCGATAGGAGCTGGTTGCGAAAGGTTATTCGTGGTCTAGTGAAAGGAAACTACCAATTCACCAGGAGTCAGTGTTTATTCTAGCAGATGAGTCCAACGACTCTACCCAGCTTGAACTGGCGACTGTTTTTTTTTTTTTTTTTTTTTGGTGGAGGGGAAATGTCTACGCAGACCACCGTAATGGTTCTTGGCCTCTTCTGCGGCCTACGGTGGTACTGGGGGAATGGTTACCGCCCTAAAACCCCTCCTTCTTCTGCTCGGGTACCAGGACATTGTCCCTTACACCCACAACGCGCATCCCGGTAGACACAGCGGGGGCTGCGCTACCGAGCTCGGTTGAGCTATTGATTGCCTAGGAGTTGGCCCCCATCGTCGGCTCTTCCTCGCGGTCCTGCGGCCGGTGGAGAGATCTGAAACAGAAAAATGCGCTATGCGCTGGCGTTAGATGTGCAACACCTTGGAGGCGATGCGGTCGGGAAGTTGGGAAGGCCGGGAAAGGCCGGTCGGTGGAGACGGCAGGTGGTGTTACTTGCCGATTCGGTCTTCAAGCAGCGCCCTACGGGGCCGCTTGCGACTGGGGGGGGGCTTCCTCGTCGAACTCGTAGTCGACGGCTTCTCGCACCAGGGGGTTGGGGTGCTCTTCAGCTTTCCTGAAGGCTCGGAGGGCGACTTCGTGCAGGAACTCCTTCAGCGGCGGGAGGTTGGCCTCTCGGAGCACTTGGGCGTTTCTGACGAACCATGGGGCTTTGAAAACCTGTCGGAGAATTTTCGTCTGGATGACTTCCAGACGGTGGAACTGGGTTTTGGAGGGTTCATAGCTCCAGGCCACTGAAGCATAGGACATGGTGGGGCGGATGATGGCGCGATACAGCAACAACTTGTTCCTGATCGACACCTTACTGCGCCTTCCGATCAGCGCAGACAACGAACCCTTTATCTTGTTCGTATTGGCCACGATGTAGTCAATATGAGGGATAAAGGACAGCCGTTTGTCGACGATGACACCTAGGTATTTTGCTTGGCTCCGCCAAGGGATGACCCGGTTAAACATCGTGACGTTTCCTTCAGGCCCAGTACGTCTTTTCGAGATAAGAAGCGCAGTGCTCTTTTCTGGATTGACTGTAATGAGCCATCGTTTGCACCACTCCTCCAGCGCATCCACGGCCTCCTGTAAGTAGGAGGTTACGAGGTGCGGCATTTTGGAGCGCGTAAGGATAGCCGTGTCGTCTGCGTAGATTGCAAGGCTAGTTCGGGCGAGTTTGGGTATGTCCGCGGTGAAAACCGCGTACAGGAGCGGGGAAAGCGCCGAGCCCTGGGGGACTCCTGCGCTAATTGAATGCTCCGCAGATAAAGCGTGCCCAATGCGTGCTTTAAACGTGCGGGAATCCAGGAAAGATTGGATGAGCTGCACCATCGCCAACGGCACGCCTGCTTGGTGAAGCTTGTAAACAAGTCCATCATGCCAGACGGTGTCGAAAGCCTTCGCAACGTCGAGGAACACCGCGCCAGTCAATTGTTTCCATTCAATTGATTTTGCGGCGAATTCGACTACTCGGAGGAGTTGTTCGGAGGTTGAGTGTTGGGGGCGAAAACCGAACTGTTCATCGGGGACTACGCCTCGTTCGTTGACGAACTCAGCTAGCCGTTTCCGAATCACACGTTCAGCGATCTTCCCCACGGACGAGAGGAGACTGATGGGTCGATGATTTTCCGGGAAAATGTGATTTTTCCCCGGTTTCGGGATGAAAATGACGTGGGCTTCTTTCCACCTAGCTGGAAAAAGACGGAATTTAAACATTGCATTAACGATACCTGCTAGTGCGACGATGGCTTCGTCGGAGAGGTTCTTCAATGCTTTGTTCGGGATGCCATCTGGGCCTGGGGCTTTCCTGGGTTTGAGGAGTCGGATGATTTCGCGGATTTCGTCGGGATGGACTTCGCGGATCTGGTCGTCTTCGTCGGGTTCTGCCATTCGAATTTCTTCGACGGTTTCCTCGACGAGGTCCAGGTGCTCGTCATCTGCATCAGGGTCGATGTTCGTCTGGCATTGGTTCTCCAGACTGTGAGCGAAGGCGGCGGCTTTGTCCTCTTCTGTGAAGACGATGCCGTTGTTCGCGCTGTGGATCGGTGGAAGTGGCCGCTTGTCGCTTCTCAGCGCTTTGGCCATTTTCCAGGTCGATCCGTCCACGGTGTTCAGGGATTCTAGTCGTTGTTCCCACTGCTCGTTCCTAAGATTGAGCAGTGCTCGCCGGACTTCCCATTGGAGGCGGTTCGCTGCAGTCCGGTCGTCCTGTTCTCCAGTTCGTCGTGCTGTTCGTCTGGCTCTGTTCTTTTCCCTGATGAGATTCGCGATACGCTGTGGTATCGCGGGCCGTTTGAATGGCCGCACAGGGCGTCGAATTGAGGTCGCGTCGATGGAGGCCCGGATACGATTTTCGTAGTCCAGGGTTGCTCTTTCGACTTGCTCGCTGTCCTGGAAATTCGTTACAAACTCACCAAAGTTGCCCTTGATATGTTCGGCGAATTTCGTCCAGTCCGTGGTCGTGATTATGTTGGCCGCGGGATCGTTGGGTTCGTTCCCGATGCGCATAATCACCGGGAGGTGGTCGGAATGGAGCTCGTCGACGACGTTGACGTCCACTTCGTGTCGGAGGTTCTTGACGAGGGCAATGTCCAAGACATCACCTGGTGCATCTGGTCGGGCTCGGTGGTAGAACGTTGGTTCCTCGGTGGAAATGACGTCTACTTCCGCGGTGTTTTGGAGGAAGGTTAGGAGACGCCTTCCGTTCGCGTTGTTCTGGCGGCTGTGCCAGTCCGAATGCTTGGCGTTGAAATCGCCAGCTGCGATGGTGGCCTCTTCACCTGCGACGAGGTCAGCGATGTCTTCAACCTGGAGCGTGTTGGAGTTGTTGTAACAAGCGATTAGGCGCAGAGGCCCTCTCGCAGTCACAACGGTTACCGCCGTCGCTTCTAGTTGTCGGAGATCGGGGACGTAAGAAGAAGAGTGTTTAATCTCTTTTCTTACGTAGATGGCCGTTCCTCTCCCGTTTCCGTCCCGTCGTTCCGTTCGGTGCAAGGTGTAACCCGGCATCTTGGGATCTCGGGAGTCCCACAGGAGGTTCGTCTCGTTGACGAGGATGGCATCGAGCTGGTGGTCTTCCATGAACTCTTCGAGTTCATAACGCCCGCTCCGGAGTCCATTGGCATTCCAGAAGGCGATCTGTAATGAATTTACAATTAGTGGCGTACTACCCATCTAATTTTTAAAAAGGAGGGGAAGGAATGCCGCCATTTTCTCCGCCATGGACTGCGAGTCCTTGGCGGCGGCGATGGCGGTCATCAGTTGGGTCTTCTGGAGCTGCAGGTCGGCCTGTTGGCGAGCCGTGAGGGCGACCTTCTTGGGAACGGGAGCGGGTTTGGGTTTTGGGGTGGCCTTGGGGAGGGCACCGCGTTTGGGGGCGGCGGTCCTGGGGGCGGTCGTCTTGGACGATGTGGGAGGCTTCTTGGAAGCCTTCTGTTGCTGCGATTTGGGGAACTTGGGACACCCCTTGTAGCTGGCCGGGTGTGGCCCGCTACAATTCGCGCATTTCGCGGGCTGCCTGCGTTGCTTCTCGCAGTCGCTGGTCTGGTGATCGGCGCCGCACTTGACGCAACGGTGTTCGGCCCTGCAGTTCCGCTGGGAGTGGTGGAACCGCTGGCAGCGGTGGCACTGGGCAGCATCCTTCCTCTTATGGGGCTTCTCCACCTTGACGGAGAGGCCGCAAAGTGTCTTCACCTCGAAAACTTCGGCCTTCTTGGCCATAGGCATCTCGGCGAGGACGAGGGGCATCGGGCGGTCGTTTCGGCTCATCCGACTGACCTGAATTGGTTGGAGACCCAGAGACTCCAGGTCTTCCAACACCTCCTGGCTGGCAACTCCTACGGCGATGCCGCGGATGACTACGCGGAGAGTTTTCTCCTCCGGGAGCGTGAAGGTGTGATACTGCACCTTCATGTTGTCCAGAAGTCTTACCAGGCTTCTGAAGTCGCTCACCTCGACCGGCTGAATGCGCACCCCTTCCGGGGTGGATTTCGCCTTCGAATACCGGATGGAGTTATCCGTCATCCGACGCGAAACTTCTGACCATCTCTGGCCGTCCCGCAGGATTATGGGCGGAATCCTGCTTTTCGGGGTGGTTGGGGGACGTGGTGTCACCACGGGGACCTCCGTCTCCATGGTCTCCTCCTGGGGCTCGGGCCGGGGCTCGGCGGGGGTCTCGTCGACGACCGGGGTGGTCTCGGCGGTGGTGGCGGGCTTGGCCCTGGCGGTGTCCCGGCTTGGGCCTGCCGGGGGCTGGGGCTGGGGCTTCTTTTGCTGCTTGGCAGCATGGGGGGCTGTCTGGGGCTTGGCATTTTTCTGCTGCTTCTTGCCAGCAGCAGATGGGGCTGGCTTCTCCGTGGCCGCGGGCTTGGCTGGTGGCTTGGGCTTCACGGTCGGGGGCGGAGACGCAATTTTCGGCTTTTTGGCCGAAGTGGAAGGCGTGGGGGCTTGCTCCTCGCCGCTAAGGGCGGAGAACATATTGCCAGTCGTGAAGACTGGCTGGGGGGTGGGGGTGGCTGGCCTCTTTGCGCCAGCTCTGGCGGTGGGGACCTCCTCGAAGGGGGACTCCAGGGGGGCCTCTTCGGACGTGATGTCCATGGACTCGTCCGAGTCCGAGGTGTCATCGTCGGTGGAGGTCTCGGCCGGGGTGTAGACCTCCTCCATTTTCTTCTCGATCCTCGAGATCCTTCTGGCATGCTTCTTCAATGCTGCCTCCATCCTGGACACGATGGCCAAGATTCTCGACAGCATGGCATCTCCTGGGGCCCCTGCCTGCGCCATGGTGGCACTGACAGAGCCTGGGACGTGTTGTGGTTGCGAAATTATTTGTGCCACATCGACCACTAATCGCTTTGAAAAAAGCAGCGTAGCCGATGGAAAACGTTGCGAAACGTTGCACAAGGGATGCTAGCGATAGCGCGCTGAAAAGCACAGTAACGCAGCGAACTCGGTGAACTTCACTGGAGCGTTGGGTCACAGCACGACGGCAGATTCACAAAAGCAAAAAATATGCAAAAGCAAACTCACCACCGGAACAGACAACCTTCCTCTCCAACTGACGACTCACGACTGTGGCTGAATTGGTTTGTCTCTCATTCTGGACGAGACTTCTGGCGACCTCTTGCTGTCACGCAGGATGATGGGGGGAATTCTGCTCTTGGGGGAGCAGATGCCGCGAGTCTCCGCTCTGATCGCCCTTTTATCCGTGCGGTCGGGTAATGCCTCGACGGCCGCTACTCGCATATCTCTGCGCCCGATTGGCCATGGCACGCGGTAGAGCTGAATCCAGGCTTATACTTTAGAAATAGAACAGGGACACAAAACTTCGCACCCAGGAGTCGTTCAGGGTGACTGACTAATTATTAAATCACGGTATTTGGCCAGATATTCTTGCTTACAGGCGGTTACAGAATACACTTACTCTTCGTTTACGAAGTCCCATTGTGATAACAAGATATAACGATGAAAGTGTCTTGTTCAACAGAATAAACCATTTTCACAGTCTTCACTTCCTAGCACAAAAACAAAAATTTCGTACACAATGACCAAGAGTTCTGAAAATGACTGTTTTGTTGTTTTGAGCTTGGATCAACGAGAATTACTGTAATTCGCACTTGAAAAAAATTAAAACAATAAAAACGACGACTTTAAATGACAGGTTACAACTGATATTAGACATTAATGTGACAAGTGAGAACTCATAATGATGCATAACCATAAATAAGCGGGATTTTTGAAATCCATGGCCAACTACGCCCTTAGAATCATGTATAAAAGCCCTGTTTAAGTGACAGTATGAGGAGCGAACCAACAAGCGTGGACACACTCTGACTCACTGAACAAAAAAAAGTATATATAGGTATATATAAAATAGGAGAGTTAAAATTGCCAAAAGTGTAATGAATCTAGAAATTTAGGAGTGGTAATTAATTATTGTTTGTCTCATATATCGAACAAATGCTTATTAGTTCTCTAACAATGTAATTGTAGGGTTTATTTTACGAAATGGAACTGATTTTAAAGATATATTTAGTATCAAAATATTGTTTTATGGTTTAGTGAGAAGCAAACTCGAATATTGTTGCATAATTTGGATCTCTAGTAATTAGTCATTATTAGGATTATATTAACCTGTGCAACGGCTTGCTTGTCTTGGCATCATGGAGGCTGTGCACTACACCCTCACAGCCTCCCCAGATATCCTCCCTGTAGTTTTGTTAAAAGCGAAAAAACAACAACAACAACGAACAAAATCGATGACAATGCCATCGGATCTATGGCCAGTTGTGTTTGACTTCGAGTCTACTTTTGAAGTGTCGATAATGCTCCACCAAGAGATCGCTTAAATATGCATTCGTTTCGTGTACAGACGGGTCAAAATGGAACACAGGGAGTGGATAGCGCTGTAGGGGACTAAATGCAGGATCTCTGCATTCTTAGGTAACACTCCAATGATTCTACAAACCGAAATTTCTACTTTGCACACAAAAGTGTTTGTTTTAGAGGCAACTTTATTCTGGATGAAACGTCTGGAACTATAAACAATCTCTCAATTAACTGACAAGCAAAAATAGCATTTCTCTGTGTTGCGTGTGGGATATAAGGGAATAGAAGGGAACCAAGTAGCGGACATCCTTGCTAAAAAAAAGTGCGAACGTAAATGGTAAAACGCTAACGAAAATTTGTCTAATTATCCTTACAACGTGATGACATCCCCTAAAAATTTTGTGCAATAAACATTACTTAAATTTCATAAAATATTATGTTCTCCCACTGGCTACAAACCTAAGAAATCAAAAATCATGCCAAGAGAGAAAGTTCGAAGATTTCTGGAAACAGCACCAGACGAGACGTTTCTACTATTGAAAGTAAAGAGAAAATAGTTTTATTAGATTATGGTCGTAATACAATACCAAACACGAAAACACACAAGCGTAGGGTGTTTGCCATTTCAGATGATGATGGAAGCAATTGTTTACCTTTATCTCGAAAGTATATGCTGTTAAGAAACAAACATAGCCACATATCACGTTTGCTCTTGAATTACCGGAATTGTAAATGTAATACACAGCCTCTAGTAGTCCACACCATAGCTTCCAAACCTCAGAAAGTCGCAAAATTTCTAAATTTGGCGAACCCTGCATTGTTCACAGGCCACTGTTACCGTGGAACGTCTGCTTCACTTTTGGTAGACAGCGGAAGCGACCTTGTAGCTCTAAAACGTCATGGGGGGGTGGAAGCCGTCGACGGTTACAGAGGGCTACATCGAGGACTCAATGAATACCAAAATCGAATCTTCGGAAAGAATCTTGGGAGGAGGCCTGCAAACTACCTCATCATCTTCAAGTACATGTGGTTCTTCTGCTACATTAGCCTTTTATTGAGGCCAATGTTTCAGCTAATTAAATTTTGCATGTATCCAATTTGTCGTTTAAGTCTGTTCCATGTATTCATTTTAACAATGTATCGGGAGGTACGTTCTACTTCTGTGATCCTCCAAAGAAGTAGAAACGCTTCATTTGAATAAATATTATTGTAGTAGTTGTTTTGTTTAATTATAATTTGTATCATTACATTAGGGTTCTAGGCCGCTAAAATTAAATCTTAGGGGACTCGGCCGCTAAAATTCAACTTATCGGTCTATCCATGGTAACATAAATTGACATTTAGCAATATTGTACAATCTATGTACAACAATGAGTAGACCCTTCCAGGTAGAAGGGTCGTAAGCTCCACCCCCATCATTTTGTGAGTAGGTCCAAGTACCTAAAACGACCATTACGATTACACATTCCGACCACACCAGTTCAAGTTCGTACTGTAAGAGTAAGAGAAGTAAAGTGTTATTTGTTAACAAAGTGTTTCAATTCAATCTATCAACATTCGACTTTAACGAGTCAAAGCATGGTCCTTATAACTCAGGCAAAATCGGTGCCGTAATCAGAAGCAGAATCAAGAATCGACGACGTCTTCATTATCAGGTTAGTGGCTCTCATTCTTATCTTATTCAATCCCGTTCCACTAATCTCGAATTTGGGCGTGCCTTGGTTCGCGTTGTGCGGTACCTAACTATTTATTCTAATTCAAATTACGCCTTATATAACAATACGCGTCATTTCTCTTATATTCAAATTCTATTCATCTCCCAAAGTCGCTAGATGAATTCATAAATCGCATCACATATTCAATAAGTCATATCGTGGTTCTTGTAAAATTTCAGAAAATCCTTAATTCATTCTATAAGCTAAATCTAAATAATTCGTATTTTTTCAGTTATAATTACGCTTTGGATCACTCGTAATCTCGATCGAATTCTAATTCTTTATTGATAATTACGGTGGTAATTAGGCTCAAATTTTATCAAATCGTTAACTCGTCTGCCCACTCTCATTATTGCAATTTAATTCGTAGATAGTGAGAAATCAAATCTTGAAAGCATAGCCAACCTCTATATCTCATTCAGTCATATTATTATAGTTACACAGTACGTGCGTTAAGCAATTTATTCGTTAAAGTTTTTAACTTATTATATATTTCTTTAGTGCGTTTCTCATCGTGATTAAAATTCTAAACAGAAAGTCGGAAGTTGCATATATCAAGTCAATTTTCTGTAGTTTCCTATTGTTAATTTAAATATAATCACTTATTCTTAAATCCTTCTTAACGTTAATTTATCAGTCTCGTAAAATGACCAAAGCCGACGAAGCTAGAAGCGTTCAAAGCACAATTCTGGAAAAGTTATCTCGTATAGAAGACTACTTACAAAAGTTTAATACGCAAAATGACAATATCAGCCGTTTAAAAGCGCGTCGAAATATTCTTGAAAGTCTCAGGGTAGAATTTGAAGAAAACCAGTACGAGCTAGAAAAATTAGATTCTAAAACAGAAGAATCTAAAGCGCAACACCGTAGCGTTCGAATTAATTTCGAAAATAAATATTGTGATCTTATGGGGGAAATAATCGAGATTATTGAGAAAAGCGAAAGCTCAAATTCGTATCAGTCTTCGACGTCCACTTTGCAGACGAATCAAAACAATAAAGAATGTATTCTAAATTTACCGGCGTTAAACTTAAAAACATTTTCAGGTAGTTACAAAGACTGGACAAACTTTGAAAATTGTTTCAAATCCGTAATAGACGAGAATAAATCATTAAATTATAGACAAAAGCTTCAATATTTAAAATCGTGCCTACGCGAAGAAGCCCTAAGAGCGATTGAATCCTTATCCATTAGCGATGAAAATTATTCTAAATTGTTGGAAATTCTAGAAAAACGGTTCAAAAACACTAGACTGATCGTTCAGGATCATGTTATGTCAATTTTAAATGCTCCGCTGTTACTCAAATCTTCCCCGGCCGCACTTCGTGAATTACTAGACAACGTCATTACTAATATGGCTGCCTTAAAAACATTAAAAATTCCAGTAGAATCTTGGGACGCGTTAGTAATTCCGATAATCGCGGAAAAATTAGATTTTAATTCAAAACGGGAATGGCAAACGTCCTTAGATACCAGGGTTCCTACTTACGAACAATTTATAACTTTCCCAGAAAAGCGTGTTACGGTTTTAGAAGCTCTAAACAGTTACGGAAATTCGGGCAATCAAAATAATGCTCATCCGAAGAGCAATCAAATTACAAAACGCACTACAACACATTTAGCGACTACCAAACCACAACGAAGCTCCTGTTCATATTGTAAGTCTAATGAACATATGATTCATCAGTGCCCTGAGTTTATTAATCTATCAGTACAAAGTAGACTTGAAAAGGTCAAGCTTATAAAACTGTGCATCAGTTGTTTGAGAAACAATCATTTTGTCGAAAATTGCAGAGTAACCACTAAATGCCGCAATTGTAATAAAAAACATCATTCGTTACTCCACGTTGACGCCTCAAGCCAACAGGGTAATACAACTACGCTTAATAATGTCTCAACGCACGCTAACCACTCTACCCATTCAAATCAATCTAATACAGTATTGTTGGCTACAGCGATAGTACTAATCAAAAATTCAAAAAATCAAAATCAGCCACGCAGAATATTCCTAGATCCGGGATCAATGTCGAATTGTATCACGAAAAAGGCGTGCAAGGAATTAGGTTTACGGAGCTTTAAAGAAAATTTTGAAATTAAAGGCGTAAATGGTACCACCAGCAACACGACTCAAGTGGTGTTCATCAATATAAAGTCCCGTTATAATGGTTATTCAGCCGGAAATGTAAAATGCATTGTTGTTGACAAAATTACGGAAAGTTTGCCGCTGGTACCATTAAACCCAGACGATTTGGAAATTCCGAAAGATGTGCAATTGGCGGACCCTCATTTCTATGAAAGCTCCAAGGTAGACGTACTAATAGGCGGCGGGCTCTTCTGGTCATTGTTATGCGTAGGCCAATTCTCTCTACCTACTGGATTAGTGTTTCAAAAAACCCATTTCGGTTTTATTGCGGGAGGCCCGTACTGTAGTAAATCTAATGCACATCCTGCAATAAATCGTCATAATACTTCCGCAATAAATACGGCTTATTGTAATCTGGCTGTAACCGCTCAAGATTCAATGGAAGAACGAGTTGCTAAATTTTTTGAAGTCGAGGGCGGTAGCACAGGTTTTCATGATAAGCAAACCCTATCTGATGAAGAGCTGAAATGTGAAAAACATTTCAAAACAACAACAATACACGATACAAAGGGCCGTTTCATAATTAAACTCCCGATAAAGGGTAATAACATAAAGGTGGGGGAGTCAAAAAGATTAGCAATGAAGCGTTTTTTTAGTATCGAGAAAAAATTTGCCAAGGACGAAAATCTTAAGACGGCCTATTCAAAATTTATGCATGAATATCTCGCGCTAGGGCATATGCAGTTGACGTCGAATAATCCAAAGACTGACACATTATACTTACCTCATCATGCGGTACATAAAGAGTCCAGCACCACCACCAAATTAAGAGTCGTTTTTGACGCTTCCGCAACGACCGCAAACGGAACAAGTCTAAATGATGTTGTCGGGTCGGGGAGCGTCTGGACGTCGTCTTCGGCGTGGACGGCCCGTCCGTCACGTAGTGGGGGTGAGCACCAGCTCGGACCAGGTAGCTGGTGGCTCGTCGAAGTGGAAAGCTCCGATAGGAGCTGGTTGCGAAAGGTTATTCGTGGTCTAGTGAAAGGAAACTACCAATTCACCAGGAGTCAGTGTTTATTCTAGCAGATGAGTCCAACGACTCTACCCAGCTTGAACTGGCGACTGCTGCGGCCGGTTGCTCTTTTATAGCGGCGGCCGAGCTCCGCCTTCCCGACGGGTCGATTTCATTGGTCGAGCCCGTCGGTTACAATTTCGGCTCTAATTCCTAAACTAATCCTAATACTAACCTATAATTAACTATACAAACTAATCCTACCCTAACCTACGTCCCTATCACTACCTTATCTCTATACCGCGAACGGTGTGGCCAGCGTCGCGATGCTCAGCTCCCGGAGGCGTGGCTTCGGTCTGTCGCTCGGCGGTCGGCGCGGCTCAAACGCGCCGACAAAGGAATGCCGCTTCGCCGCCAAAGGGATGCCGCTTGCCGCCAAAGGGATGCCGCTGCTGTTGCGGCTGCCGCCACAGGAGGCCACCTGCAGTGGTGGGTGATGTGGGCGATGTGGGTGTTGCTGGCCACCCAAGATGTGTTGCGGGTTGCCTACCTCCCTCTTATGCTAACATACACACTTATCTTAAAAACTACTTAACCTACGATGTTTGCACTTGAAATCCGGTCTTAACACTTCACTCCGGTAACAATGATAATCTTATGCGCGGTCCAGTTATTCAACGTGATCTATTCTCGAAAATCTTACAATTCCGAACTTTTCGATTTGCATTAAACGCGGATATTGCAAAAATGTACCGCCAAATTCGCGTTAACGATGAAGATGCTAATTACCAATTAATCCTATGGCGCGACGACCCAAATAAATCGTTACAAACCTATAAGTTGTTAACATTAACATATAGTACTAAGCCTGCAAGTTTTATAGCGACGCGATGTTTAGCGGAATTAGCAACAATCAACGAAGAAAAGTTTCCCACTGCCTGTCGCGTAATAAAAAACAATTTTTACATGGACGACCTGCTAACAGGTGCCGACTCGATTCCTGAATTAATTCAAATAAGAGACCAGGTAATTAATATTCTAAAACAAAGCAGTTCGAGATAAGAAAATTTCACTCGAATGACGATTCAATTTGGCCTAATTGTGAGGGCAATAATTCAAGAGGTCAGGTAGATTTAAATAAAAATGAAAACAAACTCATACGGGTTCGGGGCAGGCTGAAAAACTCAGCACTCGATAGAGACGTAAAACACCCAATTTTATTGCCCAAAAATAGCGTGGTCACTAAGTTACTAGTAAGACAAGACCATGCACGCCTTCTTCATGCCGGCCCCCAGGCCACCTTGGCCTCCATCCGCCAACGTTTTTGGATCATTTCCGCAAGAAGTGTCATTCGACAAATACTTCACAAATGCCATCCGTGTTTTAAAATTAATCCAACACGCCCAAAGTTCAAAATGGGGGATCTTCCCGCGCCCAGAGTGCAACCGGCGCGACCATTCTTAACATCAGGAGTAGATTATGCGGGACCAATCCTAATTAAAGAATCGCGAGGACGAGGTAAACGTTTAATAAAGGCCTACATCGTACTATTCATCTGTTTCGCGACAAAGGCGATGCATATTGAAATAGTTAGCGACTTATCCAAAGACGAATTTCTGGCTGCGCTACGTCGGTTCATGAGCAGACGTGGCCACCCTCGCGATATTCATAGCGACAACGGCACTAACTTCATCGGCGCAAGAAATGAATTTTTGCGAAAACACGAGGGTCAAATCAGCCGTGAACTTTCAAATATCAATGTCAATTGGCATATAATTCCACCGAAATCTCCCCAAATGGAGGACTCTGGGAGGCGAATATAGAGTATGAAGAAGCACTTAAAAAAAAACGGTCGGTAATTCTCATTTAACAATGAATGAGATGTACACACTACTCGTACGTATCGAGGCTTGTTTGAATTCGAGACCGCTCATACCCTTAACCAATGACCCTAACGACCTCCAAGTCCTTACTCCCGGCCATTTCCTGATTGGAGAGCCACTAACCGCGCTTCCAGAGTACGACCTCCAGGAAATCCCACTCAATCGGCTGTCCAGGTGGCAGCTAGTGGAGAGGCTTCGAAACCATTATTGGACCCGGTGGACACGTAAATATTTGACGACTTTACAGAGCCGCGGCAAGTGGTTCCAGAACAATAGTAATCCGGATCTGGTAGGATCTATGGTGGTCCTTGTGGAAGACAACCTCCCGCCCCTATCCTGGAGGATGGGGCGAATATGCGACGTGCACCCAGGAGACGATGGCCAGATACGAGTCATCAGTGTAAAAACGACCAACGGGATCGTCCAACGTACTGTGAAGAAAGTGTGCTTGCTTCCGACAGAAAATATCAGTGACGCGCAGTGAAATAGTCATATGGCCTGTCATTAGTGATGTGCAGTGATGATGCGCTTAGTGCATATAAATGAAAGTTATTGCGCTATTCCTACTGTATTTGGTCCTTGTTTACGATGTATGTATTAAGTCTTTGATGCCCTTTGTATATATGTTACACATTTATTCCTACTATATTTGGTCCTTGTTTACGATATATTTTATTAAGTCTTTGATGCCTTTGTGTATATGCATCATGTAATTCCTATAGTATTTTGTCATTGTTATGTTCTAGTATTAAGGCTTATATACCTTAAGGGGGCAGTATGTACAATCTATGTACAACAATGAGTAGACCCTTCCAGGTAGAAGGGTCGTAAGCTCCACCCCCATCATTTTGTGAGTAGGTCCAAGTACCTAAAACGACCATTACGATTACACATTCCGACCACACCAGTTCAAGTTCGTACTGTAAGAGTAAGAGAAGTAAAGTGTTATTTGTTAACAAGGTGTTTCAATTCAATCTATCAACATTCGACTGTAACGAGTCAAAACAAATATGGTATGCGATAAAAAAATTAAAAACTACTAAGAGCGGTAAAAGTTGTCTTAATACTACAAAGCAAGTAAATAATTTAAACAACGGAATTTTTTATAACTAAAACCAACGTTTGTTGGCAGCCAATTGACATGTGCGAAAAGTAAAAATAATTTAAGATTTACTTTATTTCAACAATTCTTCCATCATCATACATTATATTCTACTTTATACAAGCCATAATTACGGATTACTTAATTTCCATATGTGTTAAAAAATAGTTTTAACTTATCGTTAAAAATAATCGCGAAATTGTTAGCATCTATTATCCAAAACCTACGCACTTGTAATTGCTTAACAGGATCTTTGCTCAAGCGCTTTCAAAATTTTAAAATAGATTGTCTGTAAATTTTCATTACTGATGTTTTGCGTGATTTTTTTTCGTATATGATTGACAGATTCTTCCACAGAACTTTGGTAGATATCTTTCAGATTTAGTTCTTCAAATAAGTTTAAAACTGTTGTTATTGCTTCAGGATCTTTGGAACCATAACACTGTTTCAACGTTTCTATCTGATAATGATTTGCTTTTTTCATTGCCATTACAGCCAGCCATGTACATTTACCTTCTTGAATGTCTGTTCCCTTTTTACCACTTTTCTCTGGGTTACCATAACAGTCCATGAAGTCATCCTGAAAAATGTAACTGTCTTTAGAAAGAGTTGAAAAGATCTTTCCATATATTACATGTTGCATAGTTTCGCAAACTGCCTGTACAACTTACCTGCACCTGATACAGAAATGTCAAATCTTTAGACAAATCTTCCGACTTTCTGTGGAGTTCCAGGTCATATATGTTTGCCATATACATGGCTAAAGCTATTGGTAAATAAAAAGTGTAAAACCCAGTTTTGTATTCAGCAATACGTTTAAACCTGTCCATCGTGAAAAGTTCTAGTTGGGGTTTACCATCTTTGACAGACAGGCAATCCGCTACTTCTCCCAAACCAGTTCTCATAGTAATGTCATGAAACAACAACATCGAGGGTAGATAACAGTGATGATTTCTAAAATATTTTCTGAGTAATATGTAAGTTCCTTGTTCAAGAAGCAGTGCATCATTAGCTGCTTTTAAGCCGATATTTTGTTTTCTGTGCCAACAGAGAGAGCCCCGTCGCATTACTCCTTCGTCAATGATATCGTCAACTATAACAGAAGCTGACTGTAGCTAGAAAGATATCATTTCAATGTTATTACTTCCGTCTGTATTAATTTATGACTTATGAGGCACGGATTTTAGGCTAAACGAACTATTTTTATTTTTTAAGGCACGTTAACGAACTTTGGATATAAATAACTTTTAAGCGAAATAGAACAATATGAGCATCAATTCTTCTCGGCTAAACTGTCAAAAATCTATCCTAAGTGCTGATTGCGTCTTTACTTTTTACACAATGTTCTTACATCAAAAATCACCTGACGCGTAACAAATGTGCCAAAAGTCTCTTTTAAGAGGAAGCGAAATACGATAAAACCTGATTTGAATTTTGATTTTTGATTTCTTCGTATAAATTTTTATACATTTGAGAATAGAAAATCATTAATAAAATAATATTACACTAACTACACTTGTTCGGGCAGAATGTGGCGTCGAATGCGATCCATTTTTGTTTAAACCATAGCCCTCTTACAAAATTACAATAAAAAAAGCTAAGACTAAAAGTTAACCGTACTTCAAGCACAGCTATGCTCGCCAAGAATCTGCGTGCTTCCAATTCTGGATTTTCTTCTCCGCATTCCCAAATCTCTACCGCAAGCGGAGGTTTGAAGTCCCGCTACGAGTGCAAATGCCTACGTTATTAAACGTTTTTTTATTAAGGGACGTCTGTTATCAAAACTTTAATGGTCTAAAATCCGACCCGCAATTTAAATCTTGGATTTAGGAACTTTTTGTTTAATTCTCCCCGTAAAACTTGGCGGAGGCAAAGAACAACGAAGAATTTTCGTTGTTTCTGGTCCTAATAACCAAATAAACTCGACTTACCAATTCCAAAGCCCAAGCCATGATCATTGCTAATTTACGATTTTCCGGTGTAACATTCTCTGGTATTTCAAGAACTTCGTAAGCTATGAATGTAATGAAGGCCCTCAATTTTTTACCAAAGGGGGCGAGATAACGAAGAAGTTCATCGTAGCGTG